CTATTATAGGTACATGTGAGGCGTCCCTGGCCTGCTCCACGTGTCACATATCTGTAGTGTTGACACTTTGTTACTATTATAGGTACATGTGAGGCGTCCCTGGCCTGCTCCACGTGTCACATATCTGTAATGTTAATACTTTGTTACTATCATAGGTACATGTGAGACGTCCCTGGCCTGCTCCATGCGTCACCTATCTGTAGTGTTAATACTTTGTTTCTATTATAGGTACATGTGAGGCGTCCCTGTCCTGCTCCACGTGTCACATATCTGTAATGTTGACACTTTGCTACTATTATAGGTACATGTGAGGCGGCCCTGGCCTGCTCCACGTGTCACATATCTTTAATGTTGACACTTTGTTACTATTAAAGGTGCATGTGAGGCGTCGCTGGCCTGCTCCACGTGTCACATATCTGTAATGTTAATACTTTGTTACTATTATAGGTACATGCGAGGCCTCCCTGGCCTGCTCCACGTGTCACATATCTGTAGTGTTGACACTTTGCTACTATTATAGGTACATGTGAGGCGTCCATGGCCTGCTCCACGTGTCACATATCTGTAATGTTGACACTTTGTTACTATTATAGGTACATGTGAGGCATCCCTGGCCTGCTCCAAGTGTCACATATCTGTAATGTTGACACTTTGTTACTATTATAGGTACAGGGAGGCGTCCCTGGCCTGCTCCATGTGTCACCTATCTGTAGTGTTAATACTTTGTTACTATTATAGGTACATGTGAGGCGTCCCTGGGCTGCTCCACGTGTCACATATCTGTAATTTTAATACTTTGTTACTATTATAGGTACATGTGAGGCGTCGCAGGCCTGCTCCAAGTGTCACATATCTGTAATGTTGACACTTTGTTACTATTTTAGGTACATGTGAGACGTCCCCGGCCTGCTCCACGTGTCACATATCTGTAATGTTAATACTTTGTTACTATTATAGGTACATGTGAGGCGTCCCTGGCCTGCTCCACGCGTCACATATCTGTAATGTTGACACTTTGTTACTATTAAAGATGCATGTGAGGCGTCGCAGGCCTGCTCCAAGTGTCACATATCTGTAATGTTGACACTTTGTTACTATTAAAGGTGCATGTGAGGCGTCGCTGGCCTGCTCAACATGTCATGTGTACGTACATGAGGATTATTCAGACAGATTACCAGAACCACAGGAAGAGTAAGTAGGGCATGTTATAATGGAATATCTTGAAACATTAAGGATGAAATATATTTGATAGATTTTTGATCAAATATATTGGCTGAATTTTACACTTATAAGTTATTATATTTCTTTCGGTCAGTTACACACTAAGTAACATGTTTTCTTTAACTTTGAGCTCAGGTTATGTTGGTTTGTTTGTTGATGATCTTACTCATCCACCATGTTCATTTGAAGTTGTAGACCAATACACTATGTTAAGAAGAAATTTGATTGGTCTCTACAAATCTATAGGATATAAACTTTTACTTTCTATTGCCCTTACTAAACAACATTGTGTTAATTTTTAGGTCACCTGAGCTTTAGCTTAACTTAAAGTCAAGTTCTACTGGGCCGATTGAACTGAAACTTTGTAGGAATGATCGACTCATGGTCCTGACAAAATGTTGTTATTTTTCGAGTCGATCAGAAATTCAATATGGCTGCCACAACCGCCATTTTGAAAAAAAGTATTTCAAACTTAAAAACAAGTTCTAATAGGCCGATTTAACTGAAACTCGGTCTAGGAATGATCAGCTCATGGTCCTGACAAACGTTTTACCTAACTATTTTGTACTCAAATTGGTACATATTTCAACAACAAAAATAAATACTGTAGGACTCAGGTGACCGTTTAGGCCAATGGGCCGTGGTTACTGATATTATTTGGTGGATATACTACATGATTAACATCATATCAACAGGATACTTAAATCCAGATAGCAATCTGTCAACTCAATGTGATCACTGTTACTAAAGTAGAACAGGGATATATAAAAAAAAAAACTGCATTGAATGGCCCTCTCTGACTTGTCATTGATGGTAAATATTTTGTGGATGAACAGGATTACAAAATCCAAGATGGCCACCTCTGTCCCTTCTGGTTGACTAAGACATTTATGGCTATAACCTTTGCTCTGTTGGTATGATACCATACTTGTAGTTGAATATTACCTGATGAACACTGGATAGTCTGCATGGGAAATAAGGTTATGTTATCTGGATGTCATAATCCAAGGTGGCCACCATGCCGTATTACTCCTGTAGGCTGTGACTTCTGCTTGGCACTTATTGGGATGTACATGGTCAGACACAGGTTTGGGGCCCATGCTGACCTTTCGATATCCTAGCTTATTTTTGTCAAACTTTCCTATGCTAACATATTACAAATATTAATACTGTGTAAATACAATTCAATTCATTTTTATATATTTTTTTATTTCAGAGAAGATGACATGTTGGACATGGCAGTATTTTTGAAAGAAAACTCAAGACTAGGTAAACATTTACATGTTGGGGTTTAAAGGGGAAATGACCTAGATCTGTTAGATATTGCTACTGTGGAGCAGATTTTAGTTAATTTAAGGATCCCCGTCCCTCCGCCTAAAAATGTAATGAGGCATTGGGGTTTTTTTCTACGTCATCGCTATTGCATAACCATATCATTTCTGAACAATAACCCATATCTTGCAGTAGTTTCTTCAGATTTTTTGGGATATTATGAAGTTTCGAAAAAAAATCAGTGGACCAAAATGAAACAAAAAACATTTTATTTGATGCAAGAATGGTTTATTAGAAATATAACACATACAAAATAATAACAATGTCAATATTGATGAACAAAACACAAAAAACTGAGGAATACTAAAACAAACAAAAATGCCCGTTACATGAATCAATAAAATTCTGAGTGCCAATGCAACATGTTTAGGACAACGAAAAGAAAATATAGGTGACAAAAAATAAATATCTTGCGGGCTTACTTATTATACAAAAAAATATAAAGATACAAAAAAACTAAATAAAAAAGAGAGACAACTCTTACATCTGTACCAATGATAATTCTAAATCTCCAAAAGTCATATATACAATTTACAACATACAATTTAGCACTTTTTATATACGAATATAATACAGTAGGCATTACCAACCATTAAAATTACTTCCAATGTAATAACCAATATAAAACAAAATTGCACATTGTGTATGAATAACATTATAACAAACAATGTACTTTACTGTGTCATAGCAAAATTTTGTATATAAAAAAATCACACTATATACAACAATAATAAACTTTTTCATTCTGAACAAAACAATAATAAACTTTCACATTATGTACAGATAACAATATACCATATTGTGATATAAAAAATATCACACTTTATAGCAATAATAAACTTTGTGTCATTATATACAGATAACAACATATATTGTGGTTTAACGAATAGCACACTATACAACAATAATAAACTTTTACATTATGTACAAATAGCAACATACGATATTGAGGTATACAAATATCACATTGTAAAAATAACACTGTTGTATGTAATATAAAAAATGAACTTGAAATATAGGCCTATTGGGTATATACATGTAATAACAAACATAGAATATAATCGTGACTATTGTGATGTATAAAATACTTCCCAGGTCAAAATGTCTTTCCTGTTGGGTATTGCACAACCATAGCCTAGTACCGCATTCCTTACAACCTTTCTGGTCCAGGTGTTCAACCACTCGTCTACCCTGCGATCAGGTTAAAAAGTTATTGACGTATTCGTGATCACTAGTACTTGAGGGATCCTCATCGGACGTCGGTGTCAGCTCATCAGTAAAATTGCCACTAACTTACTCCGCTTAGTAGGGGCCTCATTAGCCAGCGTCTCTTCAATGTGTGAACGAGTGTCACTTTGTTTCGTCGCATAGTTGTGGTCTAGCAGTTGATATTGGACATCGTTGTTGTTATTGTTGTCTGTTAATGCGTTTAGTATACATTTAAAACGGCCGAATTTACGTCGGGCTTGCATGTCAGCCATCACTGCCACGACATTGTTTACATCGTTACAACAGCTTTTTTTTCCCCACACTTTCGCGATTGGAGATTTTCAACGCAAGGGACACAACTCTGTAGCCGAAACGTTACTGAAACGAAATCTATTGAAGGGAAAATAACAACATTGTCGAAATTATTATTATTATTTTGAAATAAAAATACTTCCCATTGGTCATTCATTAAGACCACTAAAATACTCAGTCCAATCATTTAAGCAAATCCTAATTGACCTCTTTCACTTACAGGTATGTTGAATGACAGCTTAAATTAAATTGTATAGCGTGTAGAAGATATCAAACATATAAAAAGAAAACAAAAATGACAGAGAAATGTTATGTCTTGGCATATAGGTAAGCTCTTATGGCTTGTCAAGATAGAAAATGTAACAAAATAATACATATATTAGTTTTACTATTGGAACAAGTGTACTGCTAGAATAATCATAGGCAATAAATGTACCAAGAACAATATCTACCAAAAAATAGAGTGTACCAGTTTTACATCAAATAATATACCTTTCTTTTGACAGGATGTCAAATTGTACTTAATAAAGATCTGGAAGGGATGGAGTTAAGTCTTCCCCAAGCAACAAGGAATTTCTACGTTGATGGCCACGTCCCACAGCCTCACTGACACTGGACTTCTGTTGACCTCTTAGTCGTCCAAACAATGCTCGTCACTCAACGTTATGGACTGTATAACGGACCTCTACACACTAATGTATGTGTGTGATTGTTTAGTGGCTGGTAACTAGAGTCCACTACACTGTTGTACAAGTCCGTGTCATGTCTTGGTGTGCTGTGTGATGAGATCTCGACCCTATAATGTGATTTTGAAATACCTCTCCACCATATTTGGCACCTTTGTAGAGTGATGAACTCTAGATTGAAAACACCTGTTATCCCCTGCAGGTAATGAAAGCCCTTGGTTTCCAAATTGGATACCGATGTGTGATTGTGTACCTGTAGTTGACATACTTGCCATTGAACCCTCCCTATTTAAGACTCCCGATTAAGGACCCTTAAATTACGCATTTTCAACCTGTGAATTTGCTAAAATATTCCCATATTCTAAGATCTAATGATTTCATCTAAAAGAACAACTCAAAATATTCTATTTGATGGGGTTATTTTGTCACTATACTTTGTATACAAACATGTAATCTATATTTTAATTGTAAGCATGCAGAATCTCCCCCATGGACATGGCGAGTATGAGTCGACAGCAGATTGTTGTTCTATCTTTGATAAGGTACCTCAAGGTTTTTGTCCTTTCTGTGAAAATTTGCCTCCAGTTGTCAAAAAAAATGTTTCTCTGGATGTAATTTGGGGCCAACATCAAACGAAAGAAAAAATGGTTCTTACTTTAATTGTGTGCTTAAAGTTTACAGCAAATTTTGTTTTGTCTGATTTGGTGTTTCTATGACAAGCAGGTTGCTGGGGGGTGGGGGGCAAGCATGCTGTAGAATTGTATCGTGAGACGTATAGTCTAACAATCCCGGTCCTGATGATTACAATGGCTTTGAGCATAGTAGAAAATGGCATCAAGCATATTTTGCAACATGTAAATTGTATTGGCAATTGTATTGGCAATCCGGAATAAAGTTAAATAGTAATTTTGTTGTTAGAAAATCTTTGCACATATTTCAACAAACTGTAATAATGCAATCCAATTTGCACTGTGGAATGTCTTTTTATACTTTTCAAACAGTTTATGATCTGTTTAAGTTTTTAAGTGATTTGTGATCTGATAAGACATTCAATCATCACACTTTGAAATAATTCTAATATCTTAAGTACCCTGGTGTTTGTTATGAGCATGTCACGTGACATTTTATTTTACAAACCATATGTGATTTGAATTTTTTTTTCAAATATATTAGAGAAGAAAGATGGTAGCTCAAGTCTAGAAGTGTATGTAGTGATATTAAGGAATATTGATATTACAGCAATAGGGCCTTGTTGTTCAAAGCCAGATAACCTTGAGGTGAAGTTAATGCAGATTTTTCATCTTGAAAATATTTAAGTGTTAATTCAAGTTCAAGGATCCCATTCCAACTGTACTGTGCTTTATTCGTATATACAGTAACCTCCCCTTACTTTTGTATTACCTCTTTGTCAACACCGTTGTTAGCTTGAAGTTGTACATACGTAATTACAGCAAAGCTGGGCCAGGACTTTTCCCTTGACCAGGAAGTTTAGATAGTAAGAGCGATTGGATAACAACTTGAAGTTCAGGGTTCAAATTCCAGTCTAGCCCCACTGTTTTCTCAATCAGAACACGGTTGCTGATTACTGTTTGGTTTATTAAGTCCTGAAAGATATGGTTTCCTTTGTATATTTTTAGGTCACCTGAGACAAAGTCTCAAGTGACCTATTGCAATCGCCTTTTGTCCGTCGTCGTCCGTCGTCCGTCGTGCGTCCGTAAACAATTTACATTTTCGACTTCTTCTCCAAAACCCCTGAACCAATTTCAATGAAATTTTGCAGGGACCTTCCATGGATAAAGGTCAACAAAAATAGTTGCCGGTTTAGTCCTAAGCCCCCAGGGGCCTGAGGGGCGGGGCCAAAAAGGGT